CCGACCTCCCTAAGGCTGCGGCGCATATACGGGACCTTCACAGAAGGTCACCGCCTCTCTCTCTCTCTCTCTCTCTCTCTCTCTCTCTCTCTCTTTCTCTCTCTCCCCCCTTCGACGCGCCAAAAAGCAACGACGGTATCTTCTTTTATTTCGTTTTTTTTATTGTGTTTATATATATATTTTTTTTCTTATGGTGTGAGTAACACCCCGTACTTGGCGGGCTCCGGCCAAGAAGGAGCGATTGGGCCTTCCCTTGGCCGACCTCCCTAAGGCTGCGACGCGTATACGGGAGGGCCCGCGACCGATAGCTGAGCGAGGTACTGGTGATTTAACCGTAGATTGCTAAAAAAGTTTGAGATCTCTTGCATATTAGTATCTATGTCCTCATGTCTTAGCATATTCACTCATAACCTCAAGAAACATTGCCTTCTGCATGTTAGGAAGAAATGGGTGAGTTAACTTTATATAGTCACATGCTTGCACTTGCGTAACAATTTCTTGAACGATTCTTTTTATAGTCGATCCGATGTGATAATCCTTTCGACTGAGACGATTTGTTTTTTAATTTTTTTTCTTTTCTACGTGATTTTCATCCCATTCCTAAAATCTCGTGACTCTTTATTATGTCCATACCTTTGTTGATATTGGGTGACTGTCCATCCTCTTTGCTGCCTCCTCTACTTGTCTTCAACAGACTCTCTCCTCCTTATTACTCTTGTAGATGATGACAATCTTTAAAACATGTAAAACTTGTGGACAATGATTTGCATTCATTCATTTTGCTGTTGATTCAAACAATGGTTTCGCTGCATTCCTGGACATCGTTCCTCTTCTTACTGAATTATGGCATCCAGGATCACTGGTTTGTGATGCAACAAAAAACACATCATACTTGCATCACTGTCTTCCATACGTTTTATGACGGGAGGAAGCAGTTTATACGTATTTTTGTGTATGGTGATGTTAACGGATTTCCATACTAGGTAAATCCGGCTCTGCGTGGATTCCTTTCCCCAAACACATCCTTTAGGCCCCAAGCTTTGAACCATCTCAACATTTTTTTTTTAATCTTTCTTCATTTTCGTATCTTTTTTTGAGTTCGTAGTCCGTCAGCGGTGCGTTGTATGCCCCTTGGTCAAATTTTAATCGTTTGGTCGTACCAGTCGGCCGTTCGGGTCCAAATGGTAGTTGGAAGGATGATGAATTTGTTGGGGGAGCAATTCATGGGAATGGGCAGTTGTTGTTTGCGGAGGACGGGTAGCTGCCTGAAGGGGACCCAGGAGGTCGCGGTCCTTGAGTTGAACATGTCAGAATCGTGGGTCCAGTTTTCTCAAATAGAAGGGTACTTCAAATATTCCGCTCACGCGTTGTGTTCAACTACAAAGCGCATCTTTCCTATTCGAATTTTGAGAAGAAAACCTCTTGTATTCCGAATAGAACATTACCTTTTCTTTTTTTTTGGAGGTTAGTGCCTGCCTTTGTGCTCCCCGCCACTGACATGCTGCATGATGCAGGGCTCTCTCTCTCTCTCTCACACACATATAAACACGCACACACGCACACATACACACATCCCCCCCCTCCCCCCCTCAAAAAAAAATTCTGCTTCAGCCCATTAGAGGAGGTGATATGAGCAACCCCCTATAGCGGACATATGGCAGAATGCTCCTGTCTATTGGTGGAGAGTGGCACGTGCTGGAAACCCAGTGCAGTGTCCCATGAAAAACACGGTGAATGAAGCATCATCATACACACAGACTCTTGGAGTTGTGTAGCGAACATGAAAAAACATAAACACAGCATAATCACTACCTTACCCTTCCCCAACCACAGTAACAAACAAACTACGGGCTGCGCATCCGTGCCCTCACCGTAAGTCAATCAAGAGAGGGCTACAATGGTTCCAATCCCCTACTATCATCATTCTTTCTTCTTTTGAGAAGATGGTGTTGGGTAGTACATCTCAGCTTTGAGGGGCATAACGCAAATTTTCCCATCGAAAAAAAAACAATATCCCTAATATACAAAGACCGAATCGGGGCCGTCAGCAGTCCGAACGGACGACGACCCCGATCAATGCAAGAATTTAACAAATATCTAATAGAGGCCGTCGCGTCCTACCGGATCGAGCCAAAGGCCCTGATAGCCCTAGAATAGGCTTACTGGTACCGCCGGTGTGCCCGTGTGCTGGCGGTGGTGCATTCTTGCGTGGGTGCGGTTGTGTGCGTTCGTGTGGGTGTGCGTGTGCAGGGTGTGCTGTGCTTGCCACACACACACACACACAGACAGAGAGAGAGAGAGAGAGGGCCGCGGGGAAACATGAGCAGGGTGCTGCTCTAGATTGATGTTGGAAGCTGTCAAGAGTCGAACCTTTCCGTTTTCGTCGAAAGAGCGGTGAGCAGCTCCTCGCGAAAGAGGTAAGCAGCGATCTTATCCTTCTTATCCTTCTCCTCCTCCTCCTCCTCTCTCTTTTGCCCTCGAATGTCCATCTTTCGACATCCTGTCATATTAGTCTGCACCTGATTTACCCATCTCTCTTCCCCATGTCGGCCTGAGCTCCGGCTTCTTCAGCTCCCGTCATTGCGAGGAGCGGTGAACAACTCCGCGCGAAAGAGGTAAGCCGCGATCTTATCCTTTGTCCTCCTCCTCCTCCTCCTCCTCTTTTGCCCTCAACTCTCCATCTTTCGACATCCTGTCGCAATATCCGTCTACACCTGCGTTCCCCTTCTCTCTTCCCCATGACGACCTAAGCTCCCGCTTCTGAGCTCCTGGAGAGAGAGAGAGAGAGAGAGAGAGAGAGAGAGAGAGAGAGAGAGAGAGAGAGAGAGAGAGAGAGAGAGAGAGAGAATGTAGAATACGACAGGCGGAGAACCACATTGGTTTTCTTTCAGCGGGTGAGCTGAGGAGGAGGAGGGGTAGGAATATGAGGTTACTGAGGGCAGGAAGAAGCGGGATGGGAAAATGCGTTGGGGGATATGGTGGCTTCACCTGCCTTTCTTGATTAGTTCGGGTTTGCTTTTTTCTATCTCGCTTCACCTACTCCTTTCCCTCTGTTTTTCCCTTCATTGTCTTCCTCCTGCACGTCTTTTTTCGGTTGTCCTCCTTCATGTCCTCCTTCTCTCCTCTTCTTCTCCCTCCACGTCAGCCTCTGCGTAAGTCCAGTTCTATGTGGAAGTAGTGGAGGTCAAGAACACAGCGGTTTATTGCCTCCATGGTCCCTCCTGTAGGAGAGCACGGGAAAGGAACAGAACGGAGAAACGATGATGGTTCGAAGATAAAATGGGTGGAGAAAGAGGAGGGGGAGGAGAGGAGAGATTATATGATGACGATGATGACGATGATGACGATGATGATGATGATGATGATGATGATGATGACGAGAGGGGGGTAGTTAGGAGATGAAGACGCTGATGTGACCAAATTGGAGAGCAGAAGGACGAGGAGGAGGCTATGGTGATGTCGTTTATCTTTCTCTTTATCGATGACCATGTTGCTTTCTGTTTTGTTTGCCATGGTCCCTGCTCCTCATCTTTCACCTCCTCCTCCGTATCCTTTTTCTCTGTCATCCTTCTCCATTTCAGCTCCTCCACATCATCCTTCTCCTCCTCTTCATCGCCTCGTATGCCAATATCGATCGGGAAAAGCCATCATCGACACCTGCACAGGGGTCAGGAACACTACAAGGGTTTTCATGTCTTCGTTCCTGCTTGTCCATGTCTTTTTTCTTTATGTGATCCTTGTCTTCCACATCGTCCTTCCCCCCCACTTCATCCTTCTGCTTTTGATGCCAATATCCCTCAGCCTCGGGAGAGTGCAAGAACGACCTCATCACACTTACACAGGCCAGGAAAACTGCAAGGCTTTTCGTGTCTTCGTCGTTGTCCTCCACATTCACCTCCTGCTGCAGATCCTGCTTCCTGGCGGTACAGACATACAAAGATAGATAGATAGAAAGATAGATAGATAGATAGATAGATAGGTAGATAGATAGATAGATAGATAGAGAGAGAGAGAGAGAGAGAGAGAGAGAGAG